ATTCCAAGTCTGTGCTGGCTTAAGATAGGTAAGAGTTAGGACTATTTTACTATTGTATTTCTTTGTTTTACCAGATTTGGTCAGAATCCATTTTGAAAACAAACTGGACCAATTAAAATGTATTTATTTATTTTGTAAAAAGCAGTTTTGGTGTTGTTCAAACTTCACTGTCTAGTAACTTTCAGGAGCATTTTCTAAGCAGGGCACTCTTTTGACATTTTTCTGATTTCACACCTCAATGTATTAGCAGTGACTGCAGAATCCTGCAGCTAGGAAACTGACAGCAGATGGAGAGCGCACACCACTTCAAGTTTAGTCACTTAATGTTTGCTTATCCAATTCTGCATTAGCACCATTCAGGCCAGCTTGACTGCTTGCAGCATCCCAATAAGCTGTTCACCCATTGTTTCAGCCACTTAGTAAGTTCTCCATGGCACTCCTTGCCATGATATGTTCATTAACAGGGCTCGACAAACTGAGGCGAGAGCTACTCGCCAGCCCTGTACCACACATGCACCAGACTGGCACTGTGCATGTGCGCAGCGCCGGTGAATGGGGCACACAGAGCGACCTGCTGAAATCTACTCGCCATGGGCAAGTAGAAATAGTGGTTTTCAAGCCCTGTTCATTAAACCAGAAACGAAGGTGCCTGTTTGCCCTTTGTCTTTAGTCATTAGTTTGGTGTTACCATCTGTTAAACTACTGCATACACATTTTTGGGTGAAGCAGGTGAAAGGTCTTAGCACAATAAAGTGATAGCCCTAAAAGAGGCTGTTATTAAAGCAGTGCACAAACAGGAGATAGCATTGCTATGGCAGGTTTTAATTTAAGGGAGCCAAGAATCGTGACTGCAGTGGAGTACTTTGACTGGCAATAAGAAGTGATAACTCACTGCTTCCTGATGTTAAGTTCTGAGGTTTGGATCTAAACAAAGCAACTGTTGAAAATCAGATGTCCTTTTAAGTTTAATCAGCTCAGCAGGTTTGATATTCTTTTACCACTTAGTGAGCTGTCTCTCCAAGGTATGAATTCCATTTTTAATTATTGCTTCACAAATTTGATACTATGGCTTTCAGTAAGTTCCATGGCAGCTTGCAACATAGATGTCATTTATTTTAATTTTATGGCCACATCAAATTTTATTTTATTTTAATTAAATTTATTTTAATTTTATGGCCACAATTTGCTAGAAGTCCAAAAAGTGCATCAATCTTTCATAACAGAGCAGACTGTACATACCCACCTTGTTAATACAGGTATGAAAATTCCAGATAATCTAAGTTTTACCTGGACAGACTTTAGTGAATGATAGAATGGATTCCAAACACATAGGGTCGATGGCTTGCTATATTCCACATCCTAATGACATAAATAAACCAGACAATGGGTACTTAAGAACACTTAGTACCTTCTCTATCAGCTTCATGTAGCAAGGACACTGTAACTGACTATTCTTTTCCCTTTTTTTCTCCCACCTCCTTTCTTTTTCCTCCTCTCCCCCCTCCCATCCATTATTTATTTATCCACACATTCTTCTGAAGAAGTGGATTGTTCCCCTGAAAGCTCATGACCCATGTTTTGTTAGTCTCTACTGTGCTGCAAGACTATTCGTTGTTTTTTAATATCTCTTTGTTTTCAGTATGTCCTTTCAGTATGAACGGTGTTAGAAGACATTCTAGAACAGTGTGCAGCTCTTTTAGAATTATGGATTTAATTTCTGCTTCTCAGGCATCTTATTCTCTTTGACATCTGAGGATAGGACAGAAAGCAATGGGCTTAAATTACAGCCAGGGAGGTTTAGGTTGGACATTAGAAAAACCCTTTTTCTTCCTCCTCATTCTAAAACCCTTTTAGATACTTGAAAGTTGCTATTGTGTTTCCTCTCAGTCTTCTCTTTTCCAAATTAAAGACATGCATTTTTTTTAGGCTTCCCTCATAGGTCCTGTCTTCTAGACTTTTAATCATTTTTGTTGTTCTTCTCTTGACCCACTCTGATTTCTCCACATCTTTCCTGAAATGTTGCACCCAGAACTGGACAGAATATTCCATCTGAGGCCTAATCAGCCCACAGTAGAGGGGAAGAATTACTTGCAGTGTCTTGCTTGCAAGACCCCTATTAATGCATCGCAGAATGATGTTTGAATTTTTTTTGCAAGTGTCACACTGTTGATTTATATTTGGCTTGTGGTCCACTCTGACCCCTCAATCTCCTTTCTGCAGTACTCCTTCCTAGACAGTCACTTCCCATTCTGTATGTATGGAACTGATTGTTCCTCCCTAAGTGGAGTATTTTGTATTTTGTATGAAGTCCTTATTGAACTTCATCCTTTTTATCATTTCTCCAGTTTGTCCAAATCATTTTGAATTATGTCCCTATCCTCCAAAGAAGTCGCAACCCCACCCAGTTTGGTATCATCTGCAAACTTTATAAGAGTACTCTCTATACCATCATCTAAATCGTTGATGAAAACTGATCCCTGCAGAACCTCACTTTTTATGCACTTCCAGAATGAACCATTCTCTGAGAATGGTTATCCAACGAGTTAATCACCCACCTTAGATTAGCCCCATCTAAGGAGTAATTTCCTAGTTTATTAATAAGAAAGTCATGCAAGACTTTATCAAATGCTTTACTAAAGTCTAGGTATATCACATCTACTGCTTCCCCCTTATCCACAAGGCTTGATATCCTATCAAAGAAAGATATTATATTGGTTTGACATGCTTTTTTCTTTACAAATCCACACTGACTCTTACTTATTGTCCTGTTATCTTCCAGATGTTAGCAGATTGATTCCTTAATTATTTTCTCCATGATCTTTTCTGGCATCTTTGTTAAGAGATAGTTATGAGTGTAGGCAAGGGACTTTGATCACAAATATTTAAAGGACATAATTAAATACTAAGGATAAAGAAGAATTAATCAGGCTTATATGAAGGAGTACATATATGAAGGAGTACACTTGAAGAAATGGAATGCAATTGAGAAAGAGAAACTATAAGGTAAATATCATAGATGACTTCCTGATAGTGACATTGAAAACTAGACAGAACATATATATGTAGGGACAAATCTGTACTGACACAGAAAATGGAGGTGACTGTAGACAGGTGTGTTCAACTTGCAATTAGATTACTAACTTTTTAATTTATTTTGTAAGTACTATATGTGCACAAGATGCTACAATTTATAAACACTTTATTATGTTTTCTGTGAACTTGCATCCCTAGAGATCCAAGCCTCCATCACCAATTACTAAGGCCATAAGCCATTCAAGAATTAGAGCCTAAAACACTCTTCAGTGACTATTGTCCTCACTCCTGTTCTCAGCTGAGCCTTATTTAATTATGCTATTAGGAAAGTTTATCCCTTTCCAGTACTGTCTTTACATGTCATCTTAGTTAAAAAAGGAAAAAGGAATGCCCTGTTTAAATTCATTAGTCCCCACTGTGAGTTGAGGTACCAGATACCAGAATTCATTAGCTTGACTTCTGAAACCACAGAGATAGATAACACAGTATCCAATTCAATTTCTCATAGGGTAATACTGTAAATCTGATTACTCATTCACCTTCAGATGGGAGATCAGTCACTGTATTAAAAGAAAATGCTCTACTGCAACAAGATTATAATTTAGTTTCACAAGGCTTCCACTGCCTAGAAAAAAGTGTTTCACACTTGGTATAAAATAATATATGACAGATGATTCATAAGGAAGAAAAGAAAACCAGGAGACACTAAGCACCTCTGTGACAGTGTAGCTAACAAGAAGAACAAGAAATGTCAGCTTCCCAAAGAACTGAAGTTATTCAGATTAATTACAACATATAACAAGTCTGTTGGCAATTTAATTTATATACCATTTTTTCCATGAGAAGAGAACCTCTATTGTCCTGAAGACACCCACTTCCCCTTGTTCTACAGCTCCCTTAAGGCCACAAATATCTGGTGAAAGACAACTGAAAAGGACTCTTTTCAGAATCTCCAGACATCATTGCAATCCAAATGAATACATCGTCATCTTGGGCTGGTCCAACAACTATTCTTAATGTTTGATTAACCCCGTGTCCCATGCCTGGAGGAAAAAAATGAGCTGGAGGCATTATGCTCACTTCCGCAAAGCTTTCATGCGTCCACTTGTAAGTTGGCAGATATATTTTCATACATAAAAAAGGTTTAAGGATATACTGGATCTTTTGGAAACTATAAGCATAGAATTTTTTAGGAACACAAAGCTATTTCAAAGTGCACACAGGTTCCTAGATTTAGAAAGAACATAGAGCAATACAAAATGGCACAAGAGGGACTGGTAAAGACCAAAAAATAACTTCTCTGCATTCCCACATAACACTTAGAATTAGCCATCTCTGGTAAATGATTTTTTTAAAACAATTTATTATGCTTCTTTTGTGTACAAGAGCGATAATTAAGATTTCCTGCACAAAGTCACTCGGCTAATGTTTAGCATATTTGCTATATTTTCCCTAAGACTTCTTTTTCTGAGCAAAGTAAAATTAAACAAAAAACAAACAAACAAAAGATTTTTTGTTTATCACCACCTTTCTTATAAAGGTGACAATATTTTCATTACCTCTATTACAATGTGTCATTTCCTTAAGATTGAAAATACCATTGATGCTACAGGAAAACAAAAACCATCAATTCTGCAGGCAATTCAGGAAATTGTGACTATAGACAATTTTGGTGGTGTACTCTTTATGTAGGGGTCACACCTTTTTATAAGCTTATGAAATTAGTTTTTTCTTAGTCATTCTGGAAAAATCATTCTAATTAGCCCCTCATAATGTATTATTTACAAATTTGTTTTGTGGCATCCCTTTAATTTTATCTATCAAACACACAAAAACATTGGTTTCCACTATGGAAGAGCTTTTCCCCTAGTAGTTATTTTGTTTCCAGAAACGTCATCATTTATTAAGATACTCTGAATAAAATAGAATTTGAGGCAATTACATGGAAAAACATGTGATTTATTTACCTGCTGTAAATGAGGCAGACCATATTATTGATCTCTTTGTCCAACTGATATCTCCGAAAGTCCTCCCAGGCATCTTTAATTGCTGTGATAGCCATTATAACACAAACTGGGATCACAGAAACTGCTGGTTGAAAAGCATTTACCACTGGCACAAAGTTCAATGCTACAATGGCCACAAAATATAAGTTGGCAAAACGATGAAACTGTTCAAAGACATTTTTTGGAATGAAGGATAAGAAAGTGTATTTGGTGGTCTTGATTTTATTACAGTCATAATGTCTATTTGGGTTCTCTTTCCATTTGCAGCTTTCAAAGGGCAAGTTGGAGACAACCACCCATCTATTTTCATTTTTCTTCTTTCTTTTTTTACCTTTTCCTCTCTTTTCTGAGTCATCATTTTGTGTCTCAGAATCTGAAGCAGTGTGCTGGCTGTGAGCTTTCTTGAAAAAAAGTTTTTTCCTTATGATCTTCATAGAACAGCAGCCTAGAGCATATTTCCGTGGCATCTTATTTCCCTCTAAATTATAGTTTGAAGTAATAATAAAATAAGGTAAAGTGGTTAAATAATCCAGAAGAATGCACAGCAGTGAAATGAGGGTTTGAGTTTTCCCGGACTGCTGTCTTTCACTTGATTGAAAACTACACCTGTTGCAATACAGACGTCACAGGAATAGGTAATATTCTCCAAGAAACCAGTTCTGCCACTGTCAGACAGGCTGACTCTGGGTCCTAAAGTCTGTCTCGTTGCAGTTCACTGATGACAAAAGAACTCCTGAAAAGTGTTACATACTAGAGATGTTAAATATCAGTTAATTGAATTGTTGATTAACCTCATGAATTCTTATTGATTAGTTGACTATTCTATAATCCCTCGGGCGTAGGGCCGGCAGCCAGTGCACTCAAGCCTCTCTCCTGAGGAGCCCCCTGCCATTTCACGCTGCTGCTTCTGTGGGGTACCCGATGGGAGCTGGTCTGTGAGGACACCCAGTTTTAAAACCAGCTCCTCTTAGAATCATAGATTCATAGAATACTAGGACTGGAAGGGACCACAAGAGGTCATCAAGTCCAATCCCCTGTGCTCATGGCAGGACCAAATACTGTCTAGACCAGTGGTCTCCAACAATTTTACACGCAAGATCACTTTTTAAGTCTCAGAACAGGCGATGATCTACCACCCCACCCCTTCCTTGAAGCCCCGCCCTCTCTATTCTCCTGTCCATCACTTGCTATCCCCAGCCCTTATACACTCTGTTAAACAGTTTATTTTTAAATTATGCAATATATAAAATTAAAATCACATGTTTATAGTTATGAAATAAATTATCTGTTTTTAATTCATGCTATTTAAATGTCAAATGAAGCATTTACAATTATACATTTTGTTCTTTGCTATTTTGTAAATCTAAAATCAAGTATTGATAATTATATATTTTTTCTTCCAATAACAAAGTCTCAGTGTGACACCTGTGACTGAACAGTATCTGCCAGTGTCTTGAAGTCTGGGTTGTAGTCTGAGATTGCTAGTTGTATACAGTCCATCAGATGGGTATCTGTGATTGTGCACTCAGCCTGGGAAGCTTGCTCCAGCAAAGCTGGAGCTAGAGGCAGCCTCTCTGGGCTGAGCTCAGGGCAGCCGGGGTGGAGGGAAGAGAAGTGGCTGCCTGGCCAGCTGGCCATGGCGCTCAGCCAGGGTGCACCAAGCTCCACGTGGGCAGGCGCTGGTTCCACAGGTTCTGCAGGAAGCCTAATCCGAACTACCTAGTTCGTGCCGTGTGTAGCCGCAGGCACGGAGTCTGAACTAGCGGACATTTAAAAATGGCGGCGCCCGGCAACATGCAAATGAAGCCCAGGAAATTCAAATCCCGGGCTTCATTTGCAACTCCGGTTGCCTACATTAACCACCCTAGTTCGAACTAGGGTGGTAGTGTAGACATACACACACACAGACACACACACTTCTCTTTCCACATCATCCCACTAAAGAACAGATTATTTCCTACCACATTGTGATGTCTCCATTTCTAATGAGGATTCTATAGGAGATATAGTTTCATAACATTCAAAATAATTTCATTTAATTTGTGAACAATATCACCATTCAAATCCAAACACATAAAAACTGTTTCTCATGATTTCCTTTACATCCAGATTCCTGTATTTACATTGATTTATGATTGTAGGATTACCAACTTAAAAAAAGCCAATAAAATATTTAAAAGCTATGTTTAGAAATGTATGGGCTTGTTTTTAAGGTTAGGGTTAGGCCCTATATGAATTTACAGGTATATGGTAATGAAAAAAATAGGCCAAAACATGGGATAACAGAACCAGGCATCATATTACAGAATTTCAAAGTGAGAGCTAGATGTGCAAATTTCACCTGTCTCAATCAGAATGGCATTTCTCACTGGCTGCTTTGGGCAGGATTTTTCAGGCCAATGTCACTTATCCTACAACAAGCAGTTGGTGGGAAAGACTGATCCACACAAACTGAGATCTCATCACCCTTTCTGGACAAGTTCTGTGTACCTTTATATTGATGACATCAATGTGCTTACTTAAAATTAACATAGTTTTTAAAAAATCTCTAAAATCTTATAGACCCTAAGAAAATACATTGTTTTCAATATGTTGTTTTGAGCCATCTGTGCATTCTAAATCAGGGATATTAATTATCTTTGAGGATTGTTTGCTGCTCAGATTAACACCTTCAGACAAGGGTGCAGATCTCAGTCTTGAAGCAGGTTGCTTCGGTATAAATTTTTTTAGTCTAAATTTTCATATATTTTATGGGGTTTTTTTACATCCGTAACTTCTGATGCAGTGTAATCCACTCACATTTGTTTCCATAGTTGCAATTTTGGTTTCTGCAAAATATCAAACTCAGAACTTACTCCCCCTCTACATTCCTCCCCGCACAAAAAAGACCACTTATGATGGGATGGATCTGAAAGCTGATCCATCATTGCTTTAGTTTTTGCAAGTGTATACCAGTAAAACTGTTCAAAGAGGAGTCAGGGCACAAAGGAGAGCAAGGTGTACTTTGTGGTCTGTATCCCATTTCCAAAATAAAGCCTAGAAACCTTCTCACAATTTTCTTGAAGTCTCTTATTGTTAGGAATCACAATCCTCCATTTGTCCAAGTTGTATCTCAGCCTCTTTCTTACAGAAGAGAGCAGAGGTGTTGATTCTAACTGAGTCCAAGTGGCTCCTTTGGCAGCCAGACACCGACAACAATACAAAGCGGAGTCCACTGACAAAGTCATCCAGAAGAAGCAAGGTAAGGCTGAAAAAGAAATGCATTACAAGGACTGAAAGCCAATTCCATTATGGTAACATATTCACTCTGTGTCTTGCCAGTGATGATTTTAAAGCAGTAAACAGTACTGTTCAACATATTATTTTTTCAGCTTCACACTCTATGCTTTCTGTACAGAAATTAAATGGTACAACAAAAATATTTAATATTGGAAAAATCCATTTTTAACCCTATGAGAAAAATACTTTATGATTTGTGAGTTCTAACTGTGAGTTAATGCAAATAAGGCAGATTCAAACTGATTCCTTGCTATGCTTCCAGTTTATAGCATTTTCTTTAATCAAATTGCCACAACCAAAGCTGTTTGGCAGTTTTTCTTTGACTGCCTCTTACTTTTGCATGATGGTTCTTCCATTCATGTTCTTTTACAAAGGTGATTAGCTCAGGTATTGAATTTTAAAGGCACACACAAAGGATATAGTCAGAATGAATTGTTTGGTTATTTTAAACTCATTTACATTCACGAAAGGAAAACATTCTTCAAGCTTCATAGAAATATGGTTTGTATGAATAACTCACCAAGAACAAAGCAATGGCATTTTACTGTTTAGATAGTTTTAACAACTTGAGTAGTAAATATTAGTGACTTAAACATTGCAATAGTACAGTTTGGAACACAGTCATACAGTAAAGTCCCTGATTCTATTCCCACTTAAGGTAATACCACAATACTTTCTTCAAAGACTTCAAAAGTATGGCTCTGGGTTCAATATCATTATGCCCAATCCCAACTGCAGTAAAATGCATGAGCGTAGGCGCTGTAAGGATACATAAAACAGCTAGTATGGCACAAACAAGAAGAAGCCTCAAGCCTTGGCAATATTCAAAGCTGTACTGCTTTAACTTAGTTTTGAAATGAAACCAATTTACTTAAATTAGAAGAACACACAATGTGAACAATCTTAATCTTATTTAAATTATTTTAATACCGGATTTAGTTTAATTCAGAAAAGAATCTGCTTAAGCAAATTTGATCGTAGTCTCATTTAAATAGGATTAAGAGAATTCACATATGTTTATGTTTAAGTAAATTAGTTTTTAAACAATTTAAATTTGATCAGTGCCAATTTAATATAGACAAATGCTCATTTTCCCTACGTTATGCTGCCACTTTCCAAATCTTCTTTCCTCTTAAAAGTTGTGAACATCCACACCTTCTCTTCATCAAGAGTCATATACAAACTATTTATATTTTTTAAATTATTCATATTTAAAGATAAGGAGAAATAATATACTGAGACATAGTTTATGCCATATGTTACACTGGTATGGTGCTTATACGCATAGTTATAGTAATAGAACACATGTCATACCTCTGTGCTATTATTTATTAAATACTTAAAAATAGTTAATGAAGAGTTAATATTGGCCAGCTGTGCATTGTGCCATTGGGAAGTGTGGAGTGGCTAACCTGAACCTCTGAAAACATATTTATTTCATGCCGAGTAACATACTGCTCAATGTTAAGTGAAGATTTTCTTCGCTTTTACCCATTGATTTTTTTATATTCTATGTGTCTCTAACAAAATTACATATGCCTACATGCCAGATATACATTTTGACTAACCTATCAGACCCCCAAATTATTAATATTCCTAGTTCTTCACCTAGTTGAAATAAAGTTAGGTAAATAAAAGTCTTCTACACTTACAAATAAAAATGAAATAGAGTTCATTCTCAGAATCATAGGTATTTAAGAGGAAAACATATATTAAATCAGAGCATCTCTTCCCACCAGTAAAAGTTTATTTGCCAGTTGTCTGGTCTTTAAATTTCTAAAATAATGCCTTCCACCACTTCTTTTGGGAGAATGTTCAAGAACCTTACAGATCTCACAGCTATGAAGTTTTTCATGATATTCAGGCTGTTTTCTTATCTTACTATTACGCTACTTCATTAAAACTAATTAATTAAAGCAGGCCTAGGCAAAATACAGCCTGCAAGCTGGATCTGGCCTGTCAAGCCACCAGATCTGGCCCGTGGATGTTGCGGGGAGCCCCAGGGAGGCTCCCTGCTTGCCTTGTCCCACCTGCATGCTGCTCAGAAAAGTGGCTGCCAGGCCGTTTCTCTTTAAAAACTGCGAGCCCAGAGTGGGGAGTGGGAAGGCTTCAGGTGCTGCCCCCACCCCTAGCACAATCCCATTGGCCGCTTTCTGCCCAGAAACCAGACAATGGGAGCTGCCTGTTTGAATAACAGGCAGCACACGAAGCACCACTCCCCCCTCCTCTCCAGCTCATAGTTATTCACACACACATGGCCCTGCAGCCTGTGTGGAGGTGGGACAGACTTTCTGCCTGCCTGAGAAATGTGCTG